ACTCCACTGTCTTTTTTTTTTTAATTTAGGTAAAAAAATATATAAAAAAAATAGTGCTATTGTAAAAAATTTAGGTTTCTTTGATTTACCTAGCTTTACTTGACCTTATTTTTCAGTAAACGTAAAAAATTTTAAAAAACAATATCAATAGATTATAAGAAAAATCAGTGGAAACCTGTTTTTATAACGCAATTGTCTAATTGTTTTAGTTTCAGGTTAGTTCTTATGTGAAAAGAGGGGTTTTGTCGTAAAAAACATAAGTTCCTTTGATTCAATAAGGTTTTGTTTGACCTTATTTTGTAATAAACCCTCAGAATTTCTAAAAATATATCAAAAAATTACAATAGAATATAGTGGAAACCTGTTTCTTCGAGACATTAGTCATACTTCTTAAATTTAGGAAAGTCAATATATAAAAAAATTGGTTTCGCCGTAAAAAACAAAGGTTCCCTTGATTCACTCAGCTTTATTTGACCTTATTCTTTTATAAACCCTCAGAATCTTAAAAAATATATCAAATGAATCCAAAAGAATTTGTGGAAACCTGATTTTTTGACGCAATAGGGCTATTTTTCAATTTTAGGTAAATTATTATATGAAAAAAGGAGTTTTGTCGTATAAAACATAGGTTCCTTTAATTCACTCAGGTTCATTTGCTCGTATCTTTTAATATTTTCACAAAATCTCTGAAAATATATATAAAGATTCAAAAAGAAGTCAGTGGAAAGGTGCTTTTGACGCAATTGTCTTTTTTTTTAATTTTATGTAAGATATTATATGAAAAAAGAATTTGTGTCGTAAAAAATATAGGTTTTTTTGATTCAGTCAGGTTTATTTGACCTTGTTTTTTAATAAACCCTCAAATTCTCTCAAAATATATTAAAAGATTCTAAAAGAAGTTAGCGGAAATCTGCTTTTGAAGCAATGGTCTGATTTTTTAATTTTAGGTAAGTTATATTATATTAAAAAAGGCGTTTTGTTGTAAAAAACTTAAGTTCCTTTGATTCAATCAGGTTTCTTCCATGATTCTTATAATTTTATTTATTAAATCTACTGAATCTCTACAAATCTATCAAAAGATTCCAAAAATAGTTTGTGGAAAACTGTTTTTTTGACGAAATTGTCTTGATTTTTAATTTTAGTTAAGTTGTTATATGAAATAAGGGTTTTTGTCGTGAAAAACTTAGGTTTCTTTGATTCACTCATGTTTTTTTTACCTTATTTTTTATTAAACCCACAGAACCTCTGAAAATTTATCAAAAGATTCCAAAAGGCATCTGTGGAAACTTATTTTTTTTACGCAATTGTTTTATTTTTTAATTTTGGTAAGTTAATATATGATAAAAGGAGTTTTGTCGTAAGAAACTAAGGTTCCTTTAATTCACTCAGGTTTGCTTTGACCTTATTCTTTAATAAACCAAAAGAATCTTTGAAAATATATCAAAAGATTCCAAAAGAAGTCATTAGAAACCTGTTTTTTTGACGCAATAGTCTTATTTTATCAGTTTTAGGTAAGTTAATATACGAAAAAAGATGTTTTATTGTTAAAAGTGTAGGTTGCTTTGATTCACTAAGGCATATGACCTTTTATTTTAATAAACCCACAGAATACCATAAACTATATCAAAAGATTTTAAAAGAAATCAGTGAAAACCTGTTTTTTTGTCACAGTCATCTTAGTTTTAAATTTTAAGTAAGTTATTATATGAAAAAAAGAGTTTTGTCGTAAAAAACTTAAGTTCCTTTAATTCACTTAGCTTAATTTGACCTTATTGTTTAATAGACCCAAAAAATCTCTAAACATACATCAATTGATTCCAAAAAACATCAGTGGAAACCTGTTTTTTTGGAGCAATAGTCTTTTTTTTTAATTTTAGGTAATTTAATATATGAAAAAAGGGGTTTTGTCTTAAAAAACTTAGGTTCCTTCGATTCACTCAACTTTATTTGACCTTATTCTTTAATAAACTTTTAGAATCTCTAAAAATATATTAAAAGATTCTAAAAGAATTCAGTTAAAACCTGTTATTTGGACGCAACTGACATATTTTTTAATTTTAGGTAAGTTATTATGTGAAAAACATAGGTGTTTTGTCGTAAAAAACATAGGTTCCTTTGATTTAATCAAGTTTAGTTGATCTTATTCTTTATTAAACCCTCAGAATTTCTATAAATAAATCAAAAGATTTCAATAGAAATCAGTGGAAACCTGTTTTTTTGACGCAATTGTCATATTTTTATTTTTAGGTAAGTTAATATATAAAAATTGGGGTTTTGTCCTAAATAATTTAGTTTCCCTTAATTCACTCAGCTTTATTTGAAATTATTTTTTAATAAACCTACAGAATATCTAAAAATATATCAAATGATTTAAAAAGAAATCAGTGGAAACCTGTTTTTTTAACGCAATTGTCTTATTTTTTAATTTCAGGTAAGTTATTAAATGAAAAAAGGGGTTATGTCGTGAAAAACGTAGGTTTCTTTGATTCACTCAGCATTAATATACCTTATTCATTAATAAACCCACAGAATCTTTAAAAATATATTAAAAGAATCGAAAAGAAATTAGTGGAAACCTGTTTTTTTGACGCAATTGCCTTTTTTTTTTATTTTAGGTAAGTTATTTAATGAAAAATGGGTTTTGTCGTGAAAAACATAGGTTTCTTTGATTCATTAAGCTTTGTCTGACTTTATTCTTTAAAAAACACAAAAAATCTCTAAAAATATAATAATAGATTCTTAAAATAATCAGTAAAAACCTGTTTTTGCGACGAAATGGTTTTTTTTTTGTATAATTTTAGGTAAGTTATTATATGAATAAAGGGGTTTTGTCGTAAAAAACATAGGTTCCTTTGATTCACTCAGGTTTATTAGAAAATATTCTTTATTAAACCCACGGAATTTCTAAAAATACATCAAAAGATTTTAAAAGAAATTAGTGGAAACCTGTTTTTTTGACGCAATTGGAATATTTTTAAATTTTATGTAAGTTATTATGTGAAAAAAGGGGTTTTGTCGTAAAAAACCTAGGTTCTTTTGATTTACTCAGGTTTATTTGACCTTATATTTTATTAAACCCACAGAATCTCTAAAAATATATCAAAAGATTGTAAAAGAAATCAGTGGAAACCTGTTTTTTTTGACGCAATCGTCTTGTTTTTTAGATATAGGTAAGTTTTTATTTGAAAAAAGGAGTTTTGTCGTAAAAAACATAGATTTCTTTAATTCACTCTGCTTTATTTTACACTTATCTTTAATAAACCCACAGAATCTCTAAAGATATATCAAAAGAATTCGAAAGAAATCATTGGAAACCTGTTTTTTTTTGACGCATTTGTCTTTTTTTTTTATTTTTGGTAAGTTAATTTGTGAAAAAAGGGGTTTTGTCGTAAAAAACTTAAGTTCCTATGATTTACTTAGCTTTATTTGACTTGATTGTTAAATTAACCCACAGAATCTTGAAAAATATATCAAAATAATCCAAAAGAAATCAGTGGAATTCTGTTTTTTTGACGCAGTTGTCTTATTTTTTAATTTTATTTAAGTTATTAAATAAAAATAGGGGTTTTGTCGTAAAAAAACGTAGGTTTCTTTGATTCACTTAGGTTTATTTGACATTTTTTTAAAATAAACCTACAGAATCTTTAAAAATATATTAAACGATTCCAATCGAATTTAGTGGAAACCTGTTTTGTTGGCGCAATTGTCTTATTTTTTAATTTTAGATAAGTTTATATTTGAAAAAAAGGATTTTGTCGTGAAAAACTTAGGTTTCTTTGATTCTTTCAGGTTTATTTGACTTTATTTTTTAATAAACCCACGGTATCTCTAAAAATATATTAAAAGATTTAAAAAGAATTCATTGGAAACCTGTTTTTATGACTCAAAATTCTTTTTTTTTACTTTTAGGTAAGTTAATAGGTGAAACATTTTTTGTTAATATTGCTTTGGACAAATTCTCTCAAATAAGTTTTTGTTTTGTTTCTACTTTTGTTTGTTGCTTGACAATTTTTATTAGCGGATTACGCATTTTGTTTTGATATTTTGTTGACATTTTTATTTTTTATGTCATATTACGATATTTTAATTAAATCTTGTTAAAAGGGTTCTATGAAAAGATTGCGATGACGTTCTGTCATCCTCATCTTCTTTTAGGCCCTATCTGTTTAATTTTTTTTGTTAAATTTTATATTATGTAGTAGAATCTGTTAAATTCTTATGTTATGTAATTACATAACATAAGAATTTAACAGATTCTACTACATAATATAAGATGTTTTTTTTTTCTTAGATGTTTTCTTAGATGTTTCTAAGATGTTTTTTCTTTCTTATTATTTTTTTCTTTTTTTCTCTGCTTACGTAAGCAGAGAAAAAAAGAAAAAAATAATAAGAAAAAAAAAACATCTTAGTGAACACGGGACGTAAAAAAGACGTTCTTCGGGCTTTCAATTAGCGTCCAAAAAAAAATCCAGAATGTTTTATTAAATCAAAACTTAATTAGTTAAATCACGCAATCATCGTTTTTGTAAATTAAAAACGCAATTATAATACAAATGTAGAAAATAATTTTAAGTGTAAAAGAAATAATAAATGAAGAGTGACTAATAGACACGTTCTTGCAAATTTATATTTATATATATATATATATATATATATATATATATATATATATATATATATATATATATATATATATATATATATATATATATATATTTATATATATATATATATAAATAATATATATATATATATATATATAAATATATATATATATATATATATTTATATATATATATATATATATATATATATATATATATATATATATATATATATTATATATATACATATATTATATATATATATATGTATATATATATATATATATATTATATATATATATATATATATATATATATATATATATATATATGCATATATATATATTATATTTATACTTTTTATATATTTAATTACTTAAGAATCGTGTTAATATTGATACAGATATTGAGGGAAATAGTTTAAAACTGAGTATATGATATACTTTATATACTAAGTATATAAAACCTGGTTCTTTATATAGTATATCAAGTATAATACTTGATATTCTATATCAAGAACCATGTTTTAATTATTTTAAAGATTTAGACACCGCAGAATCTCATGCAGAATCATTTTTTTCAAAAGGAAAACCTATTAATAATACAGCAAGTTTATCCTGATAATTTAATAGAATTAAATATCTTTAATTGACAACTTTTAGATTGTGTTATTCAAAATAATCCGACCAGTACATTAGTTAATGAACTTTTTGAAATATTACAAAATCAAGGTTTAGAACTTCGCAAAGATGCAAGAAAAATTTTTGAAAACACCTAGAGGTATTAGAGGTGTTTTTAAAACTTTCTCTGCATCTTCAAGATAAACAGTTATTAATTGTTCCTAAAAAGTGTGGTATTAATTACTCTTATTTTGAAATACAGGCAAGTATTACATATTTTTTAAATTTCGTAATTGATGGTTTACCTTTATTTAAATTCTCTAGTAAACAATTCTGGCCAATATTAGCTTGCTTTGATTATTTTAATATTTTTATAGTTGCCATTTATTGTAGTGAAACCAAACCTAATTCACTAACTAAATACTATTTTTTCTTTGAGTCAAGTCAATAATACGAAATTGTTTTCTATACAATAAAAAATATAAATAAAAACTATAAATAAAAATTATATAAAATCTTATAATGGTTACAACTTTTGTAAAAAGTGTTCCATTTATAAAACTTATGAAGCAATAATTGTGTTTAATAAGGACATTTTTTTACACACCTATCTCTTATAAAAATCAACTGTTACGACTGGTTTAGTTTTTTAAATTAAATTCATTTGAATCTTTTCCAAAAAAAAAATCACACATAATAATAAAAGCATTAGTTGTACCAGACATTTCAAAATCTGGTTTAAACAATCCTTTGAAGATACATGTAATTAATTTCTTTTTTTTTTCTTTTTCGTTCAATTTAAATAAATAATTATAATTAAAATCAATATTTATATTTATTATTTGATAAAATTTATTTTTTAGTAACTTATCCAACTTCAAATTAGAATGAGAAAAATGATTTAAAGATGGAAAAGATTTGATATTCTTTTCTATATGAATGAATTTTTGATAATTTATGGTTTTTAGTTTTAACATTTAGTAAAAAAATATGTATAACACAGCAAACATTTAAATAAAACGTTCTTTTTATTGTAATGTATTGTTTTTTTTAGAGGTGGCAGATAGAAAAAATAGTTTTGTAAAAAAGATGGTAAAAGAGAAGCCAATAAAAACCTTTGTAGTTAAAGATAGTGAAGGTATGTATTCAAAACTTACCTATTCATTTATAATTGTTAGCATTTCATTTTAGTTGTAATTTATTTTTTAGAGGAGGCAGATAATCATATAAAAAGCTCAGTAGTTAAAGACAGTTAAGGTATTTAATAATAAATTACCTTTATAATTTGTTAGTGTTAGTTTTTTATTGTAATGTATGGTTTTTTTCTAGAGGTGGCAGATACAAAAAAAAGTTTCGTAGTTAAAGATGGTAAGTAGGATTTAAAAAGTTACTTTTTATTTATAAATGTTACTATTTTATTTTAAAATATATTTAGTTATATATATTTAGTTAAAGGCAGTAAAGGTATGTATTAAAAACTTACCTATTCATTTATAATTGTTAGCGTTTTATTTTAATTCGTTTTTATTTGTTTTAATATTCTAGAAATAGTAAATACAAGAAAAAGCTGCATAGTTGAAGATACAGAAGGTATGTATTATTCAGTGGCGCACCAGTAAAATAAAGATTTTTATGTAAACATATTTGAATAATTAATTTAAACATTATCCCACCTGGGGTCAATGTTATAAAGCTTTTTATCGGCGTAAAGTGCTACACGCTGTAAATTTATTGGCGTAAATGATTTGTTTCAATGTTATAAAAAATTTTTCAAAATTACCGTCGATAAATTTCTACAGCCAAAACGTTTACAGGCGATAAATGTTCCGGAGGAGCGACCTACGAAAATTTTTGTTAAAGATCCAGAGAGATGAATATTTAGTTGTAGAAACCTATGGTTTAGAACTTTTCAAAGTACTTACCTTGAGTTGAAAACTTAATACAAATTCTTTTATTTTAATTAAGTGCACATTTCTCGGTAAATTTTAATTTCGAGCGATTTCTTTGTTAAAATTTTAATACTGAATTTGTCAAGTAAAAAATATAAATCATTCTCAAAATTTAAAACTGCTCTCATTAACTACTTTTTAGAAAAACATTGCTTATAAATTTCATACTTTCATTCAACTTATTTATAACCATAATTCTGAGCTTCTATTTATCTAATTTTTTTCTTTTCTGTTGTGATTTAATATTTTTTGCTAAACTTATTAAATTTAACAACAAAAAAATTAAAACACAACACTGTTGTGTTTTAATATTTTTATATATAATTCAAAAGCAGTATTTTTCTAAAAAAATTTAAATGTTATAAAGTATAAATAACCAGTTATTTATTATTTTAATATTTCTTAAACTGAAGTATTTTCTCTTCATCACTATAATTGTTAATATTATTATTACTATATTTTTATCATTATAAATGTTATGATTCTTACTGTTATTAATATTGCCATAATTTTTTTTTATATTATTATATTTTTATATTTTTTTATATTTTTATATTATTATATATATTTTTATGTTTTTGTTATATTACTGTTGTTGTTGTTATTATTGTTGTTGTTATTTTTACTGTTATTTTTGTTATTATTATTAAAATAGTATAGTGTATACTTTTTATAATCTTTACTATTACTTTTAATCGCTGTTATTATAACTATTATTTTTATTTACTCCTAATTGCATTATAATTATTATTAATATTACTTTCATTAAATTTCAAATTTTCAGTGATCAAAATAAATCAAATCAAATATATTCTTAATAAATAATATATATATATATATATATATATATATATATATATATATATATATATATATATATATATATATATATATATATAGATAGATAGATAGATAGATAGATAGATAGATAAATAGATAGATAGATAGATAGATAGATAGATAGATAGATAGATATACATATATATGTATATAAGTTTTCATGAATGAAAGTTAACAAAACAAATTTAACTTTTTAGATTAACTTTACAAATTTTCTTTTAGGTCTTTGGAACCTGAAAAAAAGCCATCAGGAATTTAAAGTGTTTGAAAAGGAATTTAAAGTGTTTCCAAAGTTTGTTATTGAGCTAATTAGAAAAATGCACTTATGCTAGATTTATTAGGACTATTTATTGATCCAAAAATCAAATCAACTTTAGTATTAGACATATTCAAAATGGACAGGCAAAAGAAATTTCTCTATTTAAAATTTATGCTGAAGTTATTTGAAATTCGAAATAGTAAAATAAGTGGTCAAACTATAAACAGAATTATTAAAGTTCTAGAAATTACCTTTGATGCTCGAATATGGTATGAGCTCATGAAAATGTATACTTGATATTTAAGAATTAATTGAACCTCTACGATGTTGGCTCAAATATTTTTGATAAAGTCAGATAACAAAATACATCAAAGATTTTTCTTCTTATTCAGAAAGTCTTTAGACATTATGTACAACTTGTTTCCAAAGTTTCTCATATTGTTTATGGTATGGAAGCACGTCAAAACTTATTGTGGATAAAATTCTAATCAGAAAGCATCGAAAGAGTTTTATGTTTAAATGTTTATTTGTGTCTAAATAAATTTTTGTTATATGAATTTGAGTGAGTGAATAATTCTTTTAATTATTTTGATATTTAAAGTTATTTTTTAAAAAATTTTATTAATGCAATTTTTTCTGTGTGTATAGATTTTCTATGTGCATAGATTATATAATATGTATTTCTATGTGTATAGATTGTATAATATAAAATGTGTATAGATTTTTTATATTTATATCAACAAAATTTTACAAATAAAGATTGATTAATTACCTAATTAATTACGTAAAAAAAAGAATAAAAACTTTTAATTCTTTATATTATTTTATTATAAAGACCAAGCCCAAAACAAACAAGGTCAAGGCCAAAAACTTCAAGGCCAAGGCCAAAAGTTTCAAGGCCAAAGGCCTCAGTTTTTAGTCTTAAGGCAAGGTCAAGGCCAATTAACAACTCTGGTCTAAAGAAACCGCTATATAAAAAATAGTATAAGTTATTTTTATAGAAAAGCTATACAAATTTTGTTATAGGGTAGGGTAAAAAATTAAAGACAATTCCATTTTTTTACTTTTAAATTGTATTCTTAACAGTTTAAATACTGTTTGAACAGTTTTACTTTTCGTGGTTGTCTCTGATTTGCCAAATATTCTAAAGCAACAAAATATTCTTCATCAGAATCAGAACAGTCTAAGTCCGAATCCATAAGAAACTGTTAATTTGTGTTAACATTGATGTTTTCAACTCAAAAACATTTTGTTTTTGACAACCTTTTAAGTTATTGATTTAGACAGTAGATTTCCGAAAATAAATTCAGAGCAAAGATATCTTCAAAATTTTACGCCGGTAAAAGTTTCATAACATTGAATAAAAAAACATTTTACGTCACTAAATTTACGGCTGTAAAAATTCCGCCGGTAGAATTTTACGCCGATAAAAATTTTTATAACATTGACCCCTGGTGAAAAAATAGGTGTAGAATTTTAAAATAGGTAATCTTCAAAAAATGTAATTAATTGTTATTTTATCAGATGAAAGGCTTATATTTAAATTTTGATGAAGTTATGCTTAAATTGCATTTCATAAATAGGTCACAGAATAATAAAATGTCTCCGTATTGTAAACCCTGTAAGTCATTACGGGTACATATCCAGATTTAGGTGGCTGCAAGGTATACGATTATTCACTACAATACACTTTAAACGAATGCCTCAGTGACAAAGTTGTTTAAATTTTTCTCAAAATATTAGTAAACAGTAAAGAAAAGGTATGATTATTTAATGTACTTGATAATAAAATTTTTGTACAAAAAAACAATATTGCATTTTGTTTATAAATTCATTTAAATAAAATTTTAATTCTAAATATAAAACAATATCTTGAATGTCATTCAATTTATTGATGCTTTGAAGAATCGAATCGAAGTACTTGCGCCAGCTGGGCTACTCTCACTGGATGAATTGCCAATTAAAACTGATTTAATACAAGGACGACATGAGGTAATAAAAAACTTTTATTTAATAAAATTAATGACTCATTAATTTAATGTTAGAATATATATATATATATATATATATATATATATATATATATATATATATATATATATATATATATATATATATATATATATATATATATATATATATATATATATATATATATATATACTCTTGCATGGTAGTCAAAAAGAGTTTCAAAAAGAGTTTTAAAGAGCGCGTTAATAAACCAGACCATAAAAAGTTTGAAAACTTAAATTTTTTTTTTTTTTATAAATGATAGACTGCCTGCCCAAACCAAACCCTCAGTCGATATAGCAGCACTCCCTTGCGAGTCAGGCTATTTGTCAGTCGATGTAGCAGCACTCCGTTGCGAGTCAGGCTATAAAATAGTCGATGTAGAAACACTCACTTGTAGCAGCAGGCTATAAGATAGTCGATGTAGCAACAATTATGCATGTTTTAAAAATGTTTTTTAATAAAACAAAAACAAAAACACCTTTATTTAAAAAAAACTTTCTAATCGTTATTATTGCGGTTTTTTAAAAAACAATAAAATTTAATGTACTTCCGCATTAATTTAATTGCTTTGACATTTCGACTACAATCAAATACAGCTTAAGAGACGAGGTAATTAAAATTGTAGTCGAAAGAGACTTTTTTTACATTAAAAGACTCTTTCGACTACACTATATGTAGAAATAGTGACATTATTCATTTCTTGTTTTTATATTGTTTTTATATTGTTTTATATTGTTGTTGTTTAAACTTATTGTTATTTCATTTAGAAACTAACTTTGTTTAAGATATAATTATAATTGAGAACAACGACTAACTTTTGTTTATGTTAGTTTCTTGTAAACACAGTTGAGCAAAAAAGGTTTTGTGTTTTTTTCGTAAGAGATGTACAGACATCAGACAAGAAGAGATGACAGCACAGCTGTTTCAGTGCTGTAAGGACGACCTTGGAAATCAACTCCTAAAAGAAAATCCCATGATAATTAATGAAAACGATGAGGCATTTCTAAAAGCAATGAAAAAACTGGCCGTTATCCCAGTAGCCACTTGCGTCAGAATAGCAGAACTCCTTCAAATGAGACAGGGACACAACGAAAGTATTCGGTCATTTTATGCAAAACTGAAAGGCAAGGCTGCTACTTGCAACTACACTGTTCAATGCCACTGCCATCCACAAACAACTGTTGATTTTACCGATGTTATCATACGAGACATTGTTGTTGCTGGGCTATCAGACACTGACATCCGCAAAGATGTACTTGGATGGGTCTCCCTTGACACAGCCTCAGTCACAGATATCATTGCTTTTATAGAGGGTAAAGAAATGGCACGAAATGCACTAGGCTGTAGTTCAACAACAGCAAGTGTATCAACTTTCAGGAAACAAAACAAGAGCAATACACAGAGTAGTAAAGGGACAAATATAACAGCCAAATGTCCAGATTGCTCAGAATCTTACAGTTTATTAACAGAAACATCCAAAATATGGAACAAAAAACCCCACAAGCTGTGTCTAGACTGTTGGAAGAAGCTCAGATCTCGCACTTCTAAAATTAATAACAGAATCATCCCAAATGATAAGAAATCGAATGCAACCAAAGATGCTGAGGCAGGTGGACTTGTGTTAAAGTTAAGTGCAATTGAGCATTCAAATAAAAAAATTAGATCACAAATGAAGACCAATGTGAAACGACCCTGCACAGGAATAAACCATCACATATTTAACCATGATGGATGGGCCACAGCTCAATTGCTTGTTCATCCTACAATTCAGCTGCGTGTGACTACTAACAAATCAGATTATATCGCATTTGGTATTCCATTTCCTCCCATTATACCAAAATATATACAAGTTATTACAGATACCGGTGCACAGTCCTGCTTATGGTCTAGGAAAGGGTTTGACAGTGCAGGCTTTAATGCAAACAATTTAATACCTGTGAAACATAGCATGTCGGCCGCAAATAAAATCCAATTTCGTATAGATGGTGCATTTCTTTTACGTCTCGAAGGACGACAATCTAATAGCCACAAAGTTGAATGTGCAGTAATGGTTTACATAAGTCCAGACGCAAACGGATTCTACCTATCTAAAGAAGCAATGATCCAATTGGGTATCATCTCTAAGGACTTTCCAGAGATAGGCAGTGCCCTCCACGGAGCTATTAACTCAGGCCCTCAAACTATAGGGACCAAAACATCCTGTGAAAATAATAGCTCACACGTGTGCAATTGCCCCAAAAGAAGTCTCCCAGCAGGCGCACCCACCAAACTTCCATTTGTCTGCTGTCCTGAAAACAACGAACGGATGAAAGCGTGGCTCCTTGAAAGATACTCTGCTTCAACATTCAACACATGTCCACACCAGATTTTACCTGATATGGAGGGACCTCAAATAATTATTTTAATTCAAGAAAATGCCAAACCAGTTGCAGCATTTACTCCAGCCACCATACCAATCCATTGGCAAGACCAGGTGGAAAAGGATTTGATTCGTGATGAAACTCTTGGAGTTATTGAAAAGGTACCTCTAGGAGAACCTACAACATGGTGTCATAGAATGGTTATCACACGTAAGCATGACGGTGGGCCTCGTCGCACTGTTGATCTATCTCCTTTAAACAAGTACTGCTACAGAGAAGCTCATGCAATGAAATCGCTTTTCCAACTAGCTCGTTTAGTCCCAAGAAATTCATAGAAAACTGTAACCGACGCATGGAATGGTTATCATAGCATCCCGATACCAGTTGAAGACAGGAATCTTACAACTTTCATTACTCCTTTTGGGCGCTACAGATACATCCGAGCTCCTCAAGGTTTTGTATCTAGTGGGGATGGCTACAACAGACGTTTCGACGAAATTTTAGCAGACTTTATTGGCAAACAAAGATGTGTAGATGATACCATCCACTACGATGACGACCTAGTCAAACATTGGTGGCGGACAATCGAATTTCTTGAGCTTGTTGGTAAAGCTGGGATCATTTTGAACCCACAAAAATTCCAATTTGCTAAAAGAATAGTGGATTTTCCAGGTTTCAGAATATCTGAAAATGGAGTTGAACCACTACCTAAATATATCGACGCCATTAGATCATTTCCAACACCATCCTCAATAACAGACATCCGATCTTGGTTCGGCTTAGTGACCCAAGTATCACATTACGCTCAACTTCGAGAAACTATGGCCCCATTCAGAGTTCTGCTTAACCCTAAATCAAAATTTTATTGGTCGGACGAACTCAACACTTTATTTAACGTGTCAAAGGAAAAAATTATCAACGCAATTAAAGATGGAGTCCAAATATTTGACATTACCAAGAAGACCTGTTTAAGATGCGACTGGTCAAAATTGGGGATAGGATATTACCTAAGCCAAAAACATTGTGAATCTAAATCGGACTCATCTGCTGAACAACGATATGCACCAGTTGAGGGCGAAATGCTAGGAGCGGCATGGAGCCTGGAGCAGACTAAATATTTCATACAAGGTTGTAGCAACCTTATGGTAGTAACTGATCATAAACCACTTGTCAAATTATTAAGAGATAGGACCTTAGATGAAATTGCTAACACACGACTTTTCCGACTAAAACAGAGAACTTTGCCATGGAAGTTTACCATCCAACATCAACCAGGAAAAACAAATCTGGCAGCAGATGCTACTTCTCGTTACCCTGCAGAGAACACAAAGGAATCTGATAATTCAGC